TTTCATCTCTGTTCTTACCATTCTATAAATTAATGCATAGGATTTGGTAAAGGCATGCAGCCCAGATTACTCAGTGCAGATCCAGTCTGCTGTGATTAATGCCAGCTGTTGCAGAGTAGCACAGCCAAAGGCTTGTAAGAAAAATGAAGCCTTGCACTTTTTTTGTTTAAGTATGCACAACAGTGCCAAGAGTGACAGCAAGGGGAGATCATCACATATCTTTCTGCCAGATTCAGGAAAAGTCCATAGGGTTTCAGCCTAAAAGTATAAATTTGAGAGCCGGGCATGGTGGTGCTCGCCTGTAATCCCAGCACTCGGGAGGCTGAGGGAGGAGGATCATTGTGAGTTCGAGACCAGCCTGGACTACGGAGTGAGTTCCAGGTCAGTCTCAAAAAGCCAAAAAAAAAAAAAAGTATAAATTAGAACTTCATTTCTTAGCCATCACTGTAAGTGGCGCTATTGTTATACTTGTAGTTCATTTTTATGAGTGACCAATCAGCTAAGTTATTCTTTACTCTGTGGCTCTGCAACTATGGTTTTGGGGGTTCAGTGGGTTTTCCTACTGGAGTACTGTTTTGTATCTCCACTGTATCTCCATATGGTAGCAAGGGGTCACAAGATGAGAAAACTGAGGCCAAGGTTGCACAACTATTTTAATAGTTTGTCTAAACCAATCAACCTACCTACCCATCTTCCTTTCTTCCATTATGAAATATTTCAGACATACTAAATGGAGAATGATATGAAGAGCACCAGTTACATCTATCCACTATTCATCTTAAAAAAGAAAACATTAACCCAAACTTTCAAAGGATGTGGTATTACATTATTTGCCTATAACATAAAGGAGTTATGCAGAAACTCTTAGAAAATAAAAGTGCTCTGAAATTGGATAGAACTTGAATGTTCTGATATAAGTCAAATAATGTGGGGAGATAGTATGGGAATATAGAAATGACCTTACCCTGGATGGGCAGAAGCTTTGTGGACCTTAGATAGAAATGGCTTTTGTAATAGAAATTACAGCAGACTCATAACCAGTGAATTTAAAGTAACCCTGAATTATAAAGTGATAATACTGTACTGCTTTCTTTTCTTTTTTTTTTTTCAATCCAGGCTGCTCTCCACTGGCAAAAAAAGAAAATAACATAAAGTAATTCGGTTTTTAGAAGTGTATTTTCAAATGTTTATTAGGGACAACTTAGTCTAACCTCAGTCTTGTTAGGAATCTTGCTCCTTAGTAGTGACTGCTCCAATGTAAGTGTGAAAATTAAAGATACCAGGATGATATTAAATAATTGACTTTCTGATATTATGAGAAATGCCTTGACAGAAATGTCTCTACAACAGCAAAGTATTTTAGCGCCACTTCATTCTGGGATCCAATACAAGTAATTATAATGTCATTTTCTACGGGGCTGGACTAAAATTTTGGTTTCCTCAGGATTCATGAGGGAACCTCCAGCAAATGTCTGTTGTATCCATGAGTATTCCTAATCACAGGTAACTGGAGGCAAGGCAGAAAGTATCACTGATTGCCTCCTAACTCAAGCCACCACAGGGTGCTAGAGTCAAAGCTTTGTGTTGAAGGTGTTAAAGTCAGGTTCACGTTTCATTCTGGATATAAGCATTGGAGCACATTCCTCCAGGAATGAGGATAAAAGATTTATGTAACTGTAAAAGGAAAGCTTGCATATGTGCCCTATTGTTGCAAGATATTGACCCTAGGTGGATGCTTTCACGGTAAGCCTGTTAACCTTTGTGGATCCTTTGGATTACTTTGTTCCTGTTGGGTAAAGAAGGAGGCTATTTGCAAGTTGATACCAGCAGTTTAGCGATAACTAGCCATGTTAGTTCTCTGTATATGGGTGTGGGCTTGGGTGTTAATGTTGTTTCAGGAAACAGGAGTTCTAATTCTAAATGACTTAAAGAGGGAATTTATTGGCTCATGTAACTGAGGAGTGCTGGATAAAATGAAGCACAGCTGATCCAGTTTAAAGAATCTAAGCATCTCTCCAAGCATCATATTGTTTTCCTCTACTGGCTTAAGTTTTTTTCCTACGGTAGCTAGACTGCTGCTAACTCCTCCACTTCTGTATTCACAATTCTACATTGGAGCTCTGAGTTTAACATTCACTGAATTGGAGTGGCTTATGTGCCCATTCCTAAACCAATGTGGCAAGGAGGGGAAGCAGTGATCTGATTGGCCATGACTGAGTCATATGCCCAGTCCTGAAGCTGCTTTGATTTGAATGTTTTTGTCTGCTCCAGAACTCATGTTGAAATTTCATCCCAATGCAGTAATGTTGGGAGGTAGGACCCACCAGGAAGAATTTAGAAATGAACAGAACGATGCCACTATAGAAAGGGCTTGTGGGACTGTGGGCTTGGTTCTCTTCTGCCATGTGAGGATAGTGTCCCTCCTCTCTGGAGGTTGCTGCATTCAAGGCACCATCCTGGAATCAGAGACTGAGCTCTTACTGGTCACCAGATCTGCTGGTGTCTTGATCTTGGACCTCTCTGCCTCTAGAAATGAAAAATTTCTGTTCTTTGTAAATTACTCAGTCCCTGGTATTCTACTATATCAACACAAAACAGGCTAAGATAGGGGTAGAACTAATACCATCTAAACCAGCGCTTTTTACACTATTTGTGGAAAGGAGTATGTAGGAATCCAGCTTGATGTGGCAATAGCCATGTTGGTTATAACTTCCATTTTATACTATCTAAATTCCTGTAAGGAAAAAAACATCATTAAGATAGTCAGCTGAGCTGGCTGGCACCTGATGCCTGGACTATTTCTTAGCATTGGACATGCTAACAATTTTCGAGAAACATTCTGGTTGTTCACAGCCCACCTTTATCTAGCTTAGCATATAAACTCCTTCCTGCCTTGGGTTATGGGTCTTTTTCTTTTTTTTTCTTTTTTCCTGTCATCCTATATTACACTTTGTACAGTCTAGACTTGCCTGCCTCTTCAGTCTCTTGGCCCCCTTCCACCATTGGTGGCTAATTATACAGTAGGACCAGGTTTTTTCCAAAACATAATTTAAAAAAAAAAATTCTAAGTATAGACTGACTCACTGATTCTCTATTCAATAAGGTGAGTCCACTGATCAAGATCTTAGTTATTGTAGCACAAAATTATTAAAAGTTTTTTTCTTGCTATAACTGAGTATCTGGAACTAGGTTAATTTATAAAGAAAAAAGTTTTGTTTTAGCTAACAGTTCTGAAGGCTGGGAAATCCAAAATCGGGCACTAGCATCTGCCTAGCTTCTGGTGAGGGCCATGTGCTGCTTCATGAATGGTGGAAAAGTGGACAGGTAAGCAAGTGTGACTAAAGGGGACTTGATTCTATATAGCAACCCTCTATTATGAAAACCCATTCTTGAATAAACTACATTAGTCCCTTCATGAGGATGGAACCTTCACAAATCAAAAACCTTATTGTAGGCCTCAATTCTCAACATTGCTACACCGAGGAATTAAGATTCCTATGCATGTTTTCATGAGAACAAACCATAGTCTAGCCATACAAAATTTCTAAATGTTCACCTCAATTTTGGCTTGAATTGGTAACATGTATGGTGGACCATCATAAGGAGACCATATTTTAATAAGTATGTCTAAACCACATGAACTAAGAGAGATGGTTATCTGGGAAAAGTATTACCAGAAGAGGGGCAAGATGCCCAGCACAGTGATTAATTTTATACATTTTTCTTTTGGAAAGCCTCAGTGTTCAGGAAATTTTTGGATTCTGGACCGTCTTACAGGGGTAGGATGAAAATTCACCACTGTTTATGTTAAGAATCAAAGATTTCTTCAGTCCTTTCCACTTAGAAGCCTTCCTTTTTCCCTCTTTTCTGGCCAGATTTTGCATTAGTAGGGAAGTCTCAGCTTTCTTTACCAGCTAGAGAGGCAAATGGCTTATCCAAAGAAATTTAACAGGCAAGGGCTGTAAATATTGCTTACAGAAAGGAAATCTAAAGAGGATGATCAGAAAAAAAAAAGGTTATTTTACTGTTTTTAGATCCCACTCAGGGCAAGACAGACATAACAAGTCTTCTTAGCTGGATGACTATGTATTGGTAAAGGCAGTTAAGGATGCTGGCCATTCAGAACCAGGCATTGAAAACTCTGGCGCAGTGGACCATTTTGTTGAGAAGGGAGATTAGAAAATGTTCAGAATACTAAGATAGCCTTGGATTTAAATTTCCTGCTGAACTATAGTATTAGACCATGTTCTGACACACTTTTACAAACAGTTCATGTTGCTTGGAAGGGAACTTGGTAGAAATTCCTTATGGCCTCAGAATTCCATCAGAGTGGGAAAATGAACTGTTGGCTGGACTAGTAGACTTCAGGAGTAGTGAAGCAGAGAAAGTTCACTCATGGCCATCTGGATGGCTGTTTGTTGTGGTTACAGCAGGACTCCTGCATGCAGTTGTACTAGTCACATACAACTATTTCTGCTGTAATTGTGCATAACTTCAGACAAATACAAAACTTGTTCTTGCAAGGCAGTACACTTTATTCCTCCCTAGAAAATTTCAGAGCTTGTATAAGTGCTAAGAATTTAGTGTTGTTACAATGAATTAAGCATATAGTAGAAACCTCCACCCAAGACTTAAAAAAGAAGTTGAAGATTGTAGTGTAAGGGAGGTGGCAGTGTTTGCCTTTCCATTCCCCACACAACTTTATCTCCTGTGGATTTTAGTGACATTGTTTTACGCCTGGCGACCTGTAATGTTTAATTGAAAGCAACTCCTTTGTCTTGTAGGGGGGTAAAAAATCTTATGCATGACAAGCCAGTTTCCTAATGAAAGAGCTATAATTTGGGAGAAAAAAATGGGTTATTTTTGAGGAACACAGGGCTTCTTTTTTTTTTTAAAGACCTGGTTTGAGTGGTTCATAAAGAAACAAGATTTGCAGCTGTCTCCTGGGTTTAAATAGCTCCCTAGGGAGCTTGTCCGACAGGCGCAGGGGGCATTCTGATGAATCCTTTGTTCCTGCAGAATGCCGGTCTGGGGAGGTGGAAACAAGTGTGGGGCCTGCGCAAGGACTGTGTACCACGCTGAGGAGGTGCAGTGTGACGGGAGGAGCTTCCACCGCTGCTGCTTTCTGTGCAGTAAGTATCCCCATGTGCTTTGACAAGTTATGTGTGAAAAGCTTCAGTTTACCTTTTTAAGAAAATAAATTGAAGCTTATTTTAGAAGTACAAGCATTTTCACCTGTCTGTTGTCTTAAGACATTGTTAAGTGCTCAGGTTAGCAAAGACATGAGTGGCCCAAGACACTTGGCCTTCATCTCGCTGCTGCTTTCTGTGCAGTAAGTATCCCCATGTGCTTTGACAAGTTATGTGTGAAAAGCTTCAGTTTACCTTTTTAAGAAAATAAATTGAAGCTTATTTTAGAAGTACAAGCATTTTCACCTGTCTGTTGTCTTAAGACATTGTTAAGTGCTCAGGTTAGCAAAGACATGAGTGGCCCAAGACACTTGGCCTTCATCTATCTGCCTTTTATATATTTTTAGCCCGCTCTCGCCCTCCCTCTGTCCCCCTCTCCCTCTCCCTCTGTTCACTGAGAGCTTAATGTCATATACGAAGCGTGGTACCTAGCAGTTTGTGGTACACTCTTTTTGAATAAATGAATTGCCCTTTTTCCACCAAGTTTTCTTTCTGGGTTTCTTTCTATGGTTTCTTTGAAACCTTACTTTACATCATACTTATAATTGAAAATCAGATGCCAACAATTTCTGTATTAGTTCAAATTGTTTTCTGTGGTGATGAATATCTAGAGTTATTTCTGGTTATTGATACTCTAAATTTGGGAGAAAGGAGCATAGGATATGCAAATGCCTTTCACATCAGGAATGACTGTTTTCTTCTAGACTTCTGATGACAGGAATTAGGACATAAAACAACACATGCTTACTCTTTCTACAGTCAGTAAATACCCAAGGAGAGAAACAGAATGAAAGAGAAGCTCCATTCAAAAGTCTCTTCTAATGACAATTAATGCTTCAGCTTTAAACAGTAGTTTAGCAGTTTAAGAAAGCTCTTCATTAATTATCTTTTAAGTGAGATAATTTAATGAAGGATTTATTAACTGGAAGGAACCCAACATATTATTACCTTATCTGTATTATTGAGAAGTTACCGTAAAAAGCCATAAGTTAAAAAATAAGTTTGCTCACATAATCCTCACAAAAAACTTCTTTGAAATTTGTATTTTCCTATTCTGGTAGAAGCCAGCATTCAAAGTGTCTGGACCTCTTAATAGTATGACTGCTTCACATATAATTAGAAGCTGGTAACAGAGAGCTTCATTTATGCAAAGTAAAAATAATATATATGAATGTTTGCTATGTACACCTCCATGACAGCTAGTATTGCTCACAAGATTTGGTTTAACCATTTTTTTTAAAGTTAGTGACTTATTTTTATTTTTAGTTTTTGAACCTCTTTTTCAGCATGCTTGCAACCAAGAAAGTATGGAAACAAAGAAAAATTTAAATACTTAGAAATTGTTCCGTTGCATCTAGGTTAAGCCATGATGTCTGATAACACAACAAAGTTTCTGTTTACTAAACAGGTTCTTAATAGGCATTTTTAATTATTTTCTGATTGTCTCTGTTGACAAAAGCCTTTTAAGGAAACAATTTAGTGTAGTTTACAGATCTTTCAGAATTTACTGCAGAAAATAGGGATGAGGAGTAAGGAAAGGAGGGGTGATCATCGGGTAAAACTTCATATATCTAAACTTGCTTGGTTAATACAAGTTTTTCAGAAATTTCATGTATTTATTTATATTCATATTGTTAAGGCTATTAATTCTTTAGTAGTTTATGGTTTTAGTTTAACTGTCTTTAAGCAAATGTTTCAGTACTTGAACCTCAATGGTTAGGTTCCACAGTGGATGTTATTTTATTCTGATGTAATAGAAACTTAATGAACTTTTTACAAATGAGCCAGATAGTCATCTTTCCCTCTTCCTTTCTCTATCCTTTCTTTGTCTTGCCTTCCTTCACCTTTTAAATAAGGGGGTAAAATTCCTATTTTCCAGCTGCTCAGTTGTGCTACCCATGAATTTCTTCACAGTTTACTTTTTTTCTCCTCATGTTTAATTGAAGTTTTAGAAAGTGAAATAATGTCTGGATAAAACTTGATAACATTTGGCAGTTTCATGAAGTGAGATACGTGGAACTGTCTTGTGGCTAGAAATGCATCAAAGAGGAATGTATTCTAGTTTGAGACAGAAGGGAAAACAAATGCAGACTCACTTGATGACTTTCAGATATATCACTGCTAGAGAGGCTGGTGGGGAGGATGAAAAAAGAGTACTCATTCCCATCCTAGGCTATTGATGAAAACTTGAATGATAGACTTAAAATTTTTTATACCAGAGGGTGCTTTCTGGGGGAAGAGGGGCTTCAGAGGCATTTCTCCTCAAAACAGTATCCTTTTATTCTCTATCAGGTTGTGATGTAATAGTACTAAGTATGAAAAGGCTAAAAGGATCGAGTGTGTTAAAGGTTGAGAAAATGGTTTGCAAGTAGGACATTGTTAGTTCCAGTTTTTGTTTATGTACTTACAGCCATCTTGGAAACTACTCCTTCCTGCCAGAGAGGTAGACCATTTGGAAAAGTTAAGACACTTTGGATGTTAAAGTCCTGATACTTTTCTGAAGTGACTATCATCATCATATAATGGAGAAAAGCTTAAATAATTTTCAAATGTAGCTGACCTAGGTGCTCTCACAGCTTTTGGCAAATCATAAGCTAAACTATGAATGAGCCTGTGCTTTTACTGTTTGTACACTGCTGCTCTAAGTAAAGTGTATCACTGGAATGTATAAACCTAACATTTCCCCCGCAGTGGTTTGCAGAAAAAATTTAGATAGCACAACAGTGGCAATTCACGATGAAGAGATCTACTGCAAATCCTGCTATGGAAAAAAGTATGGGCCAAAAGGCTATGGTTACGGCCAGGGTGCTGGCACACTCAACATGGACCGTGGGGAGCGGCTGGGCATCAAGCCAGAGAGGTGAGAGGAGAATGTTTGTTACCTTCAGATATGAATTACAACAGTTAATGTCGCTTGATGGACAGGAATTTGGGACTTTCCAGATTTTTAGCTTAAATTAAGTAAATAAAATGTGACTCATTTTCTAATGTAAACTAGTAACTATAATTTCATTAATACTTGACAATTTTGGACTAATAAAGTTCTTACTATTCTAGTCCTGGCTTTAGAGCATTCCAAGAAGTATCAAGGAGTTATATTCTCCAAAGCAAGTGTTCACCTCTATTTCCATAAAATATCATATCTATTGAACTTTACATAGTAGTTCATATTCAGGCTAAATAATCTCATTTGGAATTTCCCCTTAATTCCTATTTTCATTTGAACTAATCACTTTATACATCCATTTTATATTGAAGCCAAAATTGGTATAGTCCAATAAAAGAGGGGTTGTCCTTGGACAATGTAGTAAAACATGCCAGACACCTTGCATTTTTAACATACGTTAACTCACAGCAGTCCTACAAGGTTGCATTTCCTGTCATACTGCAGAATAAATTGAAGCTGGGGGTGGTAGCTAAGACAGAGAAGGATCACAAGCTTGAACCCATCCTGGGCTTAGTGAGTCCCTCTCTCAAAATATAAAAATTAAAGGGCTAGGATGTCACTCAGTGTGGAAACCATGGGTTCAATCCCCAGGCCACTCCCCCTCCCCCAACTAAGTAATTTTCCTACAGTCACACTTACTTGTAGAGCTCTGGCTTGGCCAAAATAATTATCATTACTGAGTGGCTACTTATCTGCTCAAATTTATCTTCATTCTGTATAATCCTCACAGTGTACCTCTCGGGTACAGCTAATCTGTCCCTATTTTACAGCTGAGGGCACTAAAGGGCAGGTCACAGAGAGGGAGCTAAGACTTGAATCAATGCGTTTAGCTCCAAAACCTGGACTCTTGTACTGCAGCATTTGCTACGTTAAGGCTCCCCTCTCTCCTCTTTCCGAATTTCTAGGTTATAGTGTCTTATTGTGCACCAGTTGTACCCAAGCTGTCTTTCATTCACTGCTGCATCCTGTCACTCATAGGAGCCCAGCCTCCCTTTGTTAAAATTTACTGTACTTTTCTGCCTGCCTCACAAGCGCTAGATCCCAAGTTCAATCCCCAGTACCAAAAAAAAAAAAAAAATACTGTACTTTTGTTTTCCACCTTTCAATCTAGTTGTTTCAGGGTTTCATTTCATACCTTTCAAAATACATGTATCAGTACACCATCCCCTCAACCAAAGCCCTAACCCCAAAAGTTTTAAGTCAGTGGTTTTGGCCATAATTCAAAGACTTGTAGAGCCTTCTCTTAACTTCCACTTCTCTAACTGCTCCAATAATAGGCAAATCCTGTGCTGACCTGTATGCATCTGTCATCTTTTTATAAAGTCTGGCCACATTCTATCACCCTTCAGGACCAGGTATAGGATGACTTGCTTTCCCAAGAGGCCTTAATGGTTCCATGCTATGCATGCTACATTTGCAATCCTATGGCATGCTGCAATTGTAGCACTCATGGAGATTTAACATCTTTACAAGGATCTCCTTGAGGCAGCACTGAGTTGGAAGAACATTTTCCTAGTGGCAGACCTGCATTTTCATAGCAGGCTCACATCTTCTTAATTCTTTAGCCTTTCACCAAGTAATTTAACATCTGAGTTCCCATTTCTTCATCTGTAATATGAGGGATCAGTTATTATCCATTCTGTATGAAGTTGTTAAAAGGTAGATGGAAGATTATCTTCACTTATGTGAAGTTCTTGTTAATACTGGCAGATTTGGAAATTCAAATGGGCTTACAACTACAAGTTCTGGACATCACTGTTAAGCTTTTAAAGGACAGTTTAAAAATAAGCATATCAGTAGTTTGTGAAAGGATTTTGAAAATATACCTACCTTAGGGACAAATATACCTTAGGGACAAATGAAGAAACCTGTATTATGAATTACTACTTTGAATTGATTTTTGTTGCTTAAAATATTTCCAGTGGCCACACTAGTCAATTAATAATGCTGTATTAAACAACTTTGGTGGGCTGTTAATTAATCAAAAAAATGGATGTAGTGGAAATGAAAATACATGTCGTGTTTGAATAAATTGTTTTGTGAAAAGGTACTTTTTCTCAGTAAAATTTTGATTTTATATGTGTATATGATTGAATAAAATATAACCAAGAGAACATTGTTTTTCTAGCAGGAAATACTGGCACTTACCTGCTTGTTCAGTTCTGTCATTATGTCTCACCTCCTCAGCTTCTAAGGTTCTAAAAAGGTCTCAAAGCCCAATAAATGTTCTGTTCATGTTAAGTATACCTAGTTGCTGAATGGAAAACAATCTCTGCTGAAGTATGGATTACCTTGGTGACCTGTAAATAGTAACAAAAATACCATTCTATCTAGTGAAAAAGTAAAAATAAAACACATTGTAATAGGGAAATTTATTTTTTCCTCATAAAGAAAGTAGTTTATTCACACTTTACTGGGAAACTAGAGAATCCATAAAACATGCTTAACGTTCTTAAGCATGATCTATTTGCAGAATTGTTTAACAGTTGTTTTCCACCCCCTGCCCAAATCTGTTAAGTACAAAGCTAGATAGGAATCTAGTGAATATTCTGGGGTAAAAAGGTAATTACATAGTGGAGAGGCCAGCACTAGGGATTACATGAATTGTGCTTAGACTCCTAGACATTCAGTTTGAGGGCATGGCTCTTTGTAGCAATCATGAGTCCACATAAGTTAAGTAACTCTGGCCAGCACCTGAGATTAATTTCTTGATTTTTTTTCTCCTGTTATGGTTTGGAGACAGGATAGCAGTTAACTCCGAATTTCACTGTTCTTGTGTACTTATAAGGGCCTTTTGGGAAATCTTGCCTCACTTATTCTTTCCCTTTCCAAAGTGCTCAACCCCACAGGCCTACAACAAATCCAAACACTTCTAAATTTGCTCAGAAATTTGGAGGTGCTGAGAAGTGTTCCAGATGTGGGGATTCTGTATATGCTGCTGAGAAGATAATTGGAGCTGGAAAGGTAAAGTGCTATTTTGAATTAATAACAGTGAATGACTCTACTCTGCTCCCTTTATCCCCCACCATATCATTCTACCCAAAAGCTTTATACTCTGCTTTGAATTAAACTTTAAACCAAAATTTCATCAGAATCATCCACTTTATGAAATGATGCCCTTATTTCATAAATCACTTGTTTCTGTAAGAAATTTGTTTTCATGGGGAATGGTTACTAAAAAGTCCAGACTTTAAAAACCTGGAATATGCAGGTTTTCCAGGGTTATCAGGGTCACTACACTGCATACTAGTTAAGTGTGGATTTGGAAAAGTTACACCACCTCCTTGAGCTACCAAGTTCTCGGTAAGGTGACAGACTTTAAAGAAACAGACTGGTTTTTTGGCCAAGGCCTGATAACTGCTCTTAGGGAAATAGCCCTTCTGTGTATTAGCTCCCACCCCAGGTCTCCTTTGAATGAAGTTTAAAGTCAGCCCTTCTGTGGTGCCAAACAGTGTAGACAGGCAGGAGGGCTAGTTGCAGCCCAGGAGCTTGTTTTGGGGTTGATCATCGTGAACTACCTTTGCCACTTCTAAGTTACACTGCACGAAACAATCCTCTCAAAATGTACTAACATAATTTCTCTTCTAGCCCTGGCACAAAAACTGTTTCCGATGTGCCAAGTGTGGGAAGAGTCTTGAATCAACAACTCTGACTGAGAAAGAAGGTGAAATCTATTGTAAAGGTAACATTTAATCTGTTACTGCTATTCATGAATTTCTCACACTGGCCATTATTCAGTGAAGTGTCATTAGTACAAAACAACAAAAAAATTGCACGCTGAAAACAAAAAAGATATAGTCACCAGCTACTTGAAAATACAAGATCCAGAGATGCCAGAAGACTCCAGAGAACCAGTCTTTTTCTGTTCATTTAAAATTTAACCCCACAAATAATGAAAAACATCACACAGAGGTAGTCTTCTAACCTCATGCTATAAGCAAAGAATATGAATATATGAGGGTAAAACCAAATATATAACTAAGCTTGCCTTACTTTCATGCTTATAACTTAGCATGACCATGAGTTAAACACTAGGGAATCAGAATGCTTGTACTTTCCTTCAGTTTGAGGCTATTACAAGACACTTTTTATACCTTCAGTTGAACTCTTTGGCATAGCCAATTTTGTCTTTTAATTTATAGGGTTTGTCTTAATGCTAGTGAAACTTAATTGACTTTTACTATCTCTCCCTTTTCTTTTGTAGGATGTTATGCAAAGAACTTTGGGCCCAAGGGATTTGGCTATGGCCAAGGAGCAGGAGCCCTTGTCCATGCTCAGTAAAGGTGCAACTCAAAACTAAGCATCACACACTGAGAATCTCTTCATAATCTAGACACAGATAATCACGTAATACTAAACTACTGTGAAATTTGATTGGCATTAAGTACTGTATATTACTCTGTACTTGGATAGGCTAACTTGTAAAAAAGAGCATTATTTTCTTTTGCTTTGTTCACCAGAATATTCAAGAACCATTACTTTTACATTTTCAATAAAATCTGCTTTGAGTGTTTAGTGTCGTTTAATCAACCTATGGGAACGGCTATGATTTCAGTTAGTGGAAAATCATTGGGGTCTTAACCTCATTTGTATTTGTGTTGACAAGGATACCAGGCACCAGGCATCACCTTTCTGCTCCTCAGAGCTGGCATTCAGCTGTACACCATCTCTGTCCTTCTGCCCCATTAGAGCCTGTGGGTTAACTCTTCTATGTTGGAATAGTTTTCTGCAAAGTATGCATTAGAAAACTGAGATTACTAAAAGGTAGTATTGAAAGCTCCACTTCAGCATCACCAAAAGCACAATCTCTAGAGGCAGTTTGGAGCCACAGAAGCCCTTTTAAAAGATTCCTCAGAAAAGGCAAACTGACTTAGAGCAGGCATATTGTTAGAAAACATGGGTTCCTTGGATTTATACTTAAAGATTACAGACAACTACAGAATCTGAGGCTTAACATGATACTTTTTAGAAACTCCCCACTCTGATCAGAATTATGTTGACTCAACTAAATCCTAGAGACTGAGGTGCTTTTTTCACATATTTCAACTCTATATAAGTAGCAAAGAATGTTTTCTGGGTACATTCAGCTGCCTCAGGCAGAAAAAGGGCATTACACTAAACAAGGAATATTTTCCCCCTCCTGCAAAGGTGAAACTAGTCTGTAACATATGCTGACAGGATTAAACGAGCCTGGTTGTGAACACATTTTCATTTTCTCCCAAGTCCATTTTTAGACACCATATTGCTTATTCTGAATGGCTAAAAGGGATATGTATGACTTGGGAGGAGAAAGTTGATTGAGTGTATACTGAGAAATAATTCATGCTTATTTTGTAACAGCAATTTCAGGTTTATAAGGTATATCAGTTCCATTGGTAAGGGGAAGGGCCTTTAAGCAGGATGGGAAAGTTTATTATCAATGAAAGGAATTGAACTAAAAGAAAAAGAATACCTGTGATGGTTTTAAAGTGTGTCCAGATTCTTCCCACTAAAGAGCTGTGATTATATACAGCCTTGTAGATTAACAGTGCACACTTCTGTATTGAAGGCCTTGAGATCCTAATACTGATTTAGTTTGTCTATGAAAAAATTTACCTATGGAAATGTCTGTCTGGTTTTCCAACTGTTCTTCCTCATAACCCCTCTTCATCTTAAGTCCAAAGAGATACTGTTTTTTAAGTCCAAAGAGATAGTTGTATTTATTAGTATTTTCTACATTGGAAATTTAAAAACTAATTGACTTCTCTTACAGCTAAAACAAAATAAGAGGGAACAAAGGCAAATTAATGAAAAACATTTCAGGACACTGGATATTAGACGACAAAGGATAGTTATGGGAAAAAATGGAATCAGTCTTACAAATTACCAAAGTCTACTGCTTTGAGGTTCTAGGCTGTAGTGCAAGGAAGGAGAACACAGCTGGAAGCCATCCTGAGTTGAGACAGAGCAGAGTGGGGGACACACACCATGGCGGCTTCACAGAACTTGAGTCGTGCGGAGAACCCTGGAATTATGCAGAGCACACACTTCAGCAGTGTTCTGATGGAACAAGTATGTACTGTCCAAGGCAAAAAACTCACTACTCTTTGTGACAAGGTACTTGTTCACACCAGCAAGACAGAAACATAATTACCAGGGTTTTCGCTTTAGAGTGTAAGCACCTCTTACATTAAAATGGGGAGTAATCGGATATAAGTTGAACACTATTATTGTTTTGCCTACCAGATTTTAAAAGACCTAAAAGGATCAAAACTTCTGAGTCCCGGAATAAAGCCCCAACATTTTTATAGGAGTACAAAAATATCCAGCAATCAATTGATATGGTATGACATCTAACAAAAAACTACCAGGTAGCTGAGCATTACAGGTCCATGCCTATAATCCAAGTACTCAGAAGGCTGAAGCAGCGGGGCAGCAAGTTTAAGCAAGCCTGGGCAACTTAGGGGGTCTTGTCAGTAAGTGAAGGCTGGGGGTGTCGCTCAGCACTTCCTGGGTTCAATCCCCTATATTGGGAAAAAGGATGAAGGCAAAAAATCTATCAAAATCAATCCAGAATCCAGATATGAAAATTAGCAGGTAGAGATAGTAAAAACCATAACTATTTTCAAAAAGTGATACTTAAGATGTAAAAAAGGTCCATTAAAAGAGTAGGTGACAACTATAGTGTAACATTAAAATACTGAATTGTGTTAATGAACAAGTAGATGTTATAAGACATGTGAATGAAATAAACTGCAAAAAAAAAAAAAACCTGAAACAGTGAAGTATGAAATACTCAAGTGATCCACTGTACATGTAACTGAAATTTCCAAAAAGGGGAAAAAAAATACTTCAAGAAATGATGACTAGAAATGTTCTAGATTTGGTGAAAAACCTACAGACTGAAGAAGCAGGAGAAGCATCAACCAAGATCCTTTCTGATGTGGTAAATGGAAATGCACTGGGAGTACTAAAAGCATTGCCATTTATTAAAAATGTATCAGCTGGGCATGGTGGTGCATGCTTGTAAACCCTGTGCTTTGGGAGGCTAAGGCGAGGATTCCAAATTTAAACCCAGCCTAGACATTAGTGTTAGCAACACCCTCTCTCAAAATAAAAAATTTTGATAAAAAAATGAGAAATTAGATTCATTCATAGGAAAATGGATACATATTGAGGATATACTCCTAAGTGAAATAAGTCACATGTAAATACCGAATTTCTCTGGTTTGAAAACTAAAACAGTACATAAGATACTAGATATAATAGACAACGTGAAATAGGGAGAAAAGGAGTGTAGGGAAAGTGGGAAGGGTAGGGGAAAGGTAATAAGGAGAAAAATATATGAGAATATGGAAATAAAAGTGTAAATGGGGAGGGGAGAAGGGGGTGAAGGGAGGGCAGGGACAAGGGGAAAAAATGAGAACCAAGACCTGTCACATAAAGGTACACAATCCCAATGATGAATGTAACTGTACTGTATACCTAAAATGTACCAATAAACTCAATGAGAGAAAAAAAATTTGGAAAAAGGCTGGAGATACAGTGTGATGTAGTTCTATCTCCAGTAAGGGGTAGGAGATCAATCCTAGGAAACATTTGATGACAGAGACATTCTAGTAAAATTTATCTGAACAAAACATTCATGTCCACTTCAAAAGCAAGTTTTGTAAAAGCAACATTTGGTTTTCTTGAATTTGTGACCTAGGTGCCTTAGATAAATGGATATTCTGAATGTTTCAGAATTACAGATTTTCCTATTTTAAAAGTCACAGATACATTCAATAACAAACTCTTAGAAAAAGCACTTTAAGAAACTCAAGATTTACTAACAAGAAGCATATTCTGACACGCACCATTTGTTTATATATCTATGGACTCCTAGAATCATAAACCAAAATATGAACAATAGAAAAGGGCCCCTTTGTAATTTTAATTTTTTTAATTTTCAAAGGTTTCTTTGCCATATATACCTTCTCAAGTAACCAAGATCAATATTTAGTTAAGTTTCATTTTGTAATATTTTGGGCATACATTAAAAACTTAGGATTAAGTGAAATAAGTCACACATGTGTAAATACCGAATAGTTTCTCTGGTGTGAATAAACTGCAATAATACATAAGATCCTAATAAGATTACTGACATTGTGAAAAGGGAAGAAAGGGGCTAAAGGTGTAGGGAAGGTGGGATGGGTAGGGGAAAGGTAATAAGGGAAAAGAAAAAAAATGTGAGACAATGAAAACATGGAAATAAAGTGTTTGTAGATGAGGAGAGGAGGAGGGGGTGAAAGGAGGGCAGGAAAAAGGGGAAAAAATGAGAACCAAGACCTGTCATGTAGAGGTATAAGATCCCAACAATGAATGTAACTGTACTGTATCCCTAAAATGTACCAATAAACTCAATTAAAGCTGAAAAAAAAACAAAACCTTAGGATTCATATAGCTTGGAAGGATCCTAATCAATTCTACAGAATAAAGTTTATAAATATTTATACAAAGGCCAGGTGTGGTGCCACACACCTGTAATCCCAGCATTCAGGAGGCTAAGGCAGATCACTGAGTTTAAGGCTAGCCTGGGTTACACGGTAAGTTTAAGACAAGCTTGAATTGCATAGTGAGACCCTGTCAACAAAATAAAAGACTGGAAATACACAAACACACACACACAGGCATACACAAAAAAATGGAAAATGTTAATACACAAACTTTTACTTTCTACAATCTTATGCCTCATGATTTCTAGTTGTCTAAGATATAAATATACAGAATAATCACTTCACATTACAGGTATTACCATGGTTTCATCAATTTAAGTAAACTGCATGAAATTATAAACAAGCACACATTTAAGAGTCAATATTTATTCTGCTTAATATTTTACAAAATTTTGACAGGTTTAATTTATGTAAGGAGAACTAATTATTAAACACTTTACAGGTTTTTCTTTCCACAGAGTAACACAGTAAGTAGCAAAATAATACTTGGCACAGTTATAAATAAAGTATAAAATAAAAACATTCATAGCTTAAGTGTAATGATGTTGTTTTATACCTATTAATATTTCAAATTCCTAAAAAAACAAAAAATATGAATGAAAAAAACTCCAAAGTAATGCAAGTTCACAGCTGAGAATTAAATTTCTATTTGTTAAAAGTATCCAATTAAGCTGATAAGAACTATTCCGAGAAAGTCTGCCTTCATCCCCAACTTTAAAGCTGGGTTAAAATGATTCTATACATAGAACCTACAAAGTAATTAAACAAGATGATACACTGCTGTGTAGGTGGCTCCTCACCATCTGACCATTTCTGAGTTACGAGAATTCAGTGGGTCTACGAAATAATTAGTACTACAGCATTTTCACTGCAAATGTTTTCCAAGTATTTATACATCTAGGGGTCTTTTGTCTATTTAATTGAGACATTTATTTGCACTAAAAAGAATACTGTACCACAAAGACAGACATGGTAACAACATTCTTATTCAAATGCTGAGAAAACTACCACTTTGTAAGTGTTGATAAAAATGTGTTAGA